CCACCTACCATCACACAGCATATGTATCAAATATTACAGACCCTTGCATACGCAGATCAGACTTTCTACGGAAATACAGTTTTTCCTTGGACTTTAAAAATAACGAAATGCATTCTGCCTCTGAGGACATAACTTTATTCAGAACTAGTGATGAAGAACTTAAATCTGTCCATCGAATCTTACCACATGACAATATCACAGTACCAGAAAGAACAGTATTTTACTTCCTGAATCCATAGCTGAAAACAGAAATTTCCGGTACAGTGTATTATAATATCCCAAGAACTGTAACTAGCATCCCATGAGGAGTACTAATAGCTTCAGCACTCATCGAATTATCAAAGATAGTTATCCCAGTGAGAGTTGCCAATGACAGTGATAAAAGCGAAAATCATTAGGAAACGTGAAGCGGTTGCAGCATGTACTCCAGTGACCAGCATTAACCAAAACAGTAACTCTCCAGAATCGGCGTCTTCAGAGAGCCTTACATCGGAGTTATTGCAGAATACACAATTAAGCAATGGAGAAAGGAACGCTGCGGAACATGTCATTCAAGAATTTCAAGATGTTTTCTCCCACTCATCTTCTGACATAGGTTGATTCACATTTCACACAGTATAGAATCGATACTGAGACATCTAAGACATCCAAGACATCTACCGATTGCTAAATAGCGAAAGGTAAGAAAACTTAAATGATATGTAAAAAAGTGATGTAATCGAGCAATCGGCAAGTCCTTGGGCCTCTCCCATCATCCTGGTCAGAAAAAAGATGGCTCAACTAGATTTTGCATTGACCATCACCGATTGGACGAGGTTACGAAGAAGGTCAGCTACCCTGTTCCAAGAACTTAAGATATTTTGGACACTCTTTCGGAAGCAAGTGGTTTTCGATGCTTGGTTTAAAGAATGGGTATTGGCAGGTAGAGATATACCCTGATGACTGAGAAAAAAAGGCATTTACTACCGGACGAGGACTTTGGCAGTTCAAGGTGATGCCGTTTGGACTGTGTAATGTGGCAACACTTAAACATCTCATGGAGACCGTGTTTAGAGGTCTCTCCTATGAAGCCTGTCTGATATACCTGGATGACATCATCATTGTCAGGAAGAGTTTTAAAGAAGATTTAGAAATTCTTAGAAAGGTGCTTTAGAAACTGAAGGAAGCCAATATAAAATTCAATCCTGTCAAATGTAAACTGCTCAGACAGGAAGTGACTTTCCTTGGACAAAAAACTGTCAGGAGTTAAAGTCTGGAGACACCCTATGAAAATGTCCATCAGCTGAGAAGTTTCCTGGGGCTTTTTACCTACTATAAGAGATTTGTGAAGGACTTTTCTTTTATCGCAAGACTCCTTCACAAGCTCACAGAAAGCAAGCAAAAGTTCTTGTGGACAAAAGAATGTCAAGATGCATTTAAAAAAATAGAAGGAGGCTTTAATACCGGCTCCAATCAGCTGTAATTAAAAAAAACTCTGCAAACTACTCGGCATCGACAGAACTTTATATCCCCAGTCAGATGGCATAATAGAGAGGCTTTATCGAACCATCCTTAATAACCTCTTGCTAGTGGTTTCTAGAAACCAAAAGGACTGGTACAAAAAGTTACCACTTCTGTTATTGGCATAACACAGTGCTGTCGACGAGACTACCAGCTATTTTCCATTGCATATGCCAGGGTCGGCCAAATTTTATGTCAGTAAGAGCCACACATTTGAATTCAGGAATGTTTGACAGCCGCATCTAGATTTTCTAAAAGCTGCAAGTTCATATTTACATCATTATAGAAGTAGTGGAGGAGGTTTTAAATAGAAAGAAATCCCTGATAAATTTGCAAAAAGTGTCTAAACTAATTAATTACTTCTTTTTGGACACTGAATAGTTTTAGTTTACCATATTTCATGCATATATTTTATATGCACGAGCCGCACAAATTGCCTGCGAGAACCGTATCAGGCTCGCGAGCCGCACTTTTGCCACCCCTGGCATATGCTCTTCAGTCGGGACCTTCGTCTACCTTGTGATGTCTTTTTTGATCACCCTCCGTATGCACCTTCATCGCCTAAGGATTACATCCAAGATCTCAAGACACAGTTTGAAGTGATGCACAATTATGCACAAGAGCGAGTCAACTTGGCAACGGAAAAGATGAAGACCCAATATGACACCAGAGCTAGAAGACACCGATTCAAGAAAGGGACAAGTTGTGGTTGTGTAATCCAGTTCGACAGAAAGGACTCTCTCCTAAACTACAGTCACTTTGGGATGGTCCTTACACAGTCCTAAACAGGCTGAATGACGTTGCTGTTATGATCCATAAGTCACTGAGTTCTAAGCTTAAAGTCGTTCCTTACCGACAGGTTAGCCCCTTATTATATCCATAGTACGTAGTCCCCATAATGTATATAATGTAAATACTGTGTTTACTCCCATAACAGTCGCACTGTTTTTCATTGTGAAAATCTAGGTACTATTAATCGGGGAAATTTGCTACACAATATTGTACACTGTAATGCTAAAACATTATTGATATAAAAAATACATTATAATAAAATTAGGAACTTATCAAATGTTTCCAGATGTTTGTTTATTAACTAGTTTTTTCATCAGCTGCACACAAAAAGAGGCATTTTTCTTTTTATGGTAATATTTTTATAGACAGAAAATTCACAAATATTGTTAATGAAAATTTTGACACAAAATTCTAATAACTTAATACATAATTCATAATAAATCACTTTCATTGAAGGTATCAGTGTAGAAAACTTTCTATACTATAAATTCTAAGTTCTAAAATTCAAGGAAAAAGGCTTCACTTAATTTTGTTCCCTTCAAAGTTTCACCCGGATTTGAGCTCGCCGATTCCTATTTTTGGTTTTGATATTCAATAAATGCTACATCTTAAAAAGAAGAAAAAAAGACTTTTAATTTCATAATAATTCAGCGTTAAGATATACATAAAAACTAGAAATACAGCCAAACGTCTATCATCTCTTCTGTCTGCAAACCGTCTCTCTATTCTACTTGCCCAAAGTTCATAGCAAAATTAAAGTCTTTACATTTTGTCGCATGCCATCTACTGACTGTTTATTAATTTGCTTTATAGATTTTTCTTTATATCCGTTTTCAACAATCAATTTCACTGTTTTAATGTGAATTGGTGTTTGAAGGATCTTCATCATACCATAAAATGTCATCTTCGCTTCCGTCCAAAGCATTGGAGATGCCGCACATCCATCATTTTGTAATGCACTAAAAATTCCATGCTTTGGTCCTCTGAATGTTCATCTATTTATATTTGTTTCTTGTACCAATTGTTTGGATTTTCTCCAATCCCATATTAATTTTTCACTTACATTCCGTTATCTTTCAGCAGTTCTGTTTCCATTATCTTCAGCGTATTCAATAATCTTCAGTTTAAATCCCAGCTATAACTATTATTCTTTCTAAACGTTCCCATATTCAACCAAAAAAGAAAAGGGGGGAAAAAAACAGATGTCCAAAATATATCACCATAAAATTCACTGAAAAACAAAATATCAGCAAAAATTCTTTTTCTGTAACTTTAGATACATACAACCCAGTAAACTTAGAGCATGTGCGTACTTTTTTAATGAAGAACGAATTGAAAGCTTTAAAATGAGGGGGAATAAGAAATCCTTCCACTGGAGCTTTTTTCCATCCATTCATTCATTCATTACTAATTATGCCGAAATATTGCATTAGATGCAACGTGTCCGGCTCATGACAAGTATGCCCGAAGGGCACATGACATATCAGTGTCTGGACCGAGTGATAGGAGGTATCAGAATTGGGAGAAAAAGGGGGTGACCACTGGACGCCACAAGCAGAGTATCGAACTTAAAGCCCAAGACCAGGAGAGGCAGCAAGATGTGGAGTGTCAGAGTTTATGTTGTTCATGATAGGTATGTTGAGAAAAAATATGATAAATTTGCAAATACAATTTTATTACAGAAAATAAATACAAAATAAAATACAATAAGGGTGAGCATATACAAATACAAAATACAAAAAAGAATTCTTTTCCCATCCTCTCAGGAAAACCAGGCTATTCCTTATCTCATTATGGCGTGACCATTGAGAATCTCTCGTTTAGCTTCACTTTTTAGCTGCACTGCACATTCCATTGTGTTTAACGTTCATAGTAGAGTGAAGTGTAACTATTGACTGTACTCTGTGATACTGTTCTGAGTTGTACGACTATTTTTGTGGAAAGTTCTATATGTGCATTCAATCTATTATGAATCCATATGCATGCAACAATATATTTATTTGGTTGGTGCATATCTGTATCAGAATATGATGTTTTCTATACTTTGACCTTCGATGATGTACTTCAATTGGCTAATGAGTTTACAATTAAAATATTTGTATATAAATATTTTTTATCTTATCATTACATAAATCATTACGCAGCTGTGTTTTAATGATTGTTTTGGATCATTGTTTTGGAATATCAGCTTAGAATTGCATGCATATTTAGACGGCCACACACAAGGAAAAAAAAAAAAAGTTTCAATAGCGTGGTTTCTTTTAGTTCTCACGTTTCGTAAAAGCCAAATAAACAATTACTGAATGCAATTACCTTCACTTATAAGACTGTGTCCTTCACGTATAAGACGCAGGTAACTTTTATGAGACCAAATTTAGGAAAAAAAGTGCGTCTTATATGCCGTCAAATATGGTACTCATTAGCCATATGAGTGATTTTACTATGGACGTATGATACGTGATTTTGTAGTGTATTGTAATTACAATTTTAGTTTTTCTTCTTTATTTACCTCTTTTGCACATATTTAATTTATTTATAATTTTATTATTGTATCCTTATGCACAATTGGTGAAATTTACATATATACATGCAAGTGCTCTTTCCCATTGAAAACTTTCTTATCTGTTCATATACTCCTGCAAATATGTTTTTAAAAGGTGTCTTTTTTTTTTTTTTTTTTTTTTTTTTTTTTTTCTTTTCTTTTCTAGATGAAATTGATTTGCCTCCAACAGATGAAGATTCTGATGAATCAGATATATCAGCTAGTGATTCTAAAGATTAATTTGTTAAAAAAAACTGTTATTTTAACTCAGTTTGACATATATTTTTTCAAGAACTTTTTTCTTTGTTGTTGTTGTTGTTTCATATTTCAAGTAAAGGTTTAAGAAGATTCTGATGAATCAGATATCTCAGCTAGTGATTCTAAAGATTAATTTATTTTAAAAAAAAAAAAAAAAACTGTTATTTTAACTCAGTATGACATATATTGTTTCAAGAACTTTTTTTGTTGTTTCATATTTCAAGTAAAGGTTTAAAATGTACATTCCCCCCCCCTTCAAATGGCAGTACACTTGCTTCTTAAGCATTTACCAAGAATGGCTGAAGCCGTTAATTCATTAGCCAGCTTATCATCAAGAGTATCTAGTGGGATCCCGGATCTAGCGGAGGGCAAGCCGGGGTTCCTGCCCCGGGCGGCAAATTCAAATCTAACGCTGGATAGTATTTGGTATGTTGTTCGCTAAAACAGCTCTCTAATTTTAGTACAATGTTAATAGTTTTAAGGCCAAGTTCAAAAACCTCTTTTAAGAAGAATTATAATTAAATACTAGGAAACCTTTTAAAGGAACATGAATTAAAATAAAGTACAGCCAATTACAACTATAAATGTAAGATCAGAAAGAGGCCTATAGAGGGACTCCAGGCGTCATGTTAGAATCGGACTGACCCTATCAGTAACGTCTGAAGTCCCTCTAACGTTTCCTGCCTGGGCGGGGCGTATTCAAATGAGAAATAGAACGATAGCTTGTTGAAGAAGTCGCCTGGTTTCCATAGCAATGTCTGCGGGGAAATGGAGAAGCAATTTAACTATTTTTTAAGAGCTAACCTCAAAAAATTAAATTTGGACCATCCTGGACAAATGAAATAATTCAAATTACTATCCGTCGAGTATATACAAGACACAAGCGTTATGTTTTCAAGATGAAGCAAAGCATTTATATTTTTTTGAAGCCAAGTTAGGCTTGCCTTTGGTTTGTTTCGGAACAAAGAATCGCATTTTAGATTTTAAAGCTAGATTTATTATTTTTATGGTTTCTTTTTAGTTTTCAGGTCTCTTCTGTATTCTTTTTTCAGCCTTTTTTCTCCTTTTTTTAGATATGCTTGCTTTTAATAGCACGCACTATATTTAGCGAGACGCAACCATTTGTTTAGAGCTGTTCAGTGTAATTACGTCAATTCTTAGTTATTAAGGCAATTCATAGTGAATTTCATTTAGATTAAAAGAAAACATCTGCGCGCTGAGGGGGAGAAAAGCTGAATATAGAAAATGAACCAAAGATAAGGCCAAACAGAGAAAACAAATTTCAGCTAAATTGAAAAAATAACTCCACGGAAGAAGTAAACCGTAAGGCCCTGCCGCAATTCCTATTATGCTGAGATTCTAGAGGGTATTTCTTGCAATTTGCCCGATCAAACGTGACTCCATATATCATCCCCAAGCTGGAGGACATGAAACCATGATATAAAGATCTCTTCATTTAGATGGGGGCAGGCAGCAGAAAGACGAAAAACTAAAAATTTTTGATTTGTTGGACCCATGCAGTCGGCTGGTCATAGGAAAAAAATGAACGATCACCAAATCTTTCTGAACGGATCTTTCTGAAGCAGTCAATCAGTATTATAAGCCGGTAAACATCCAGAAAACGTAAACCTGAGTCCCATTGAAAGTGATGGCAGACATTTGACATGTGATACAGTACATTAGTAAATAATGAAAAGCTTAGAAGATTTTGGTTTACAAATTCTAAAGACAAGAATGCATTTTTTGTACACCCTGCAAGATTTATCAGAAACATGGTGCTGCCGCTACACCATACTACAGGATTCATTAATTTGAAAAAAGTTTTAGCAAGATTAACTGAGCATGAAACGTCTAGAATCCACAGAGGTGCATGATTAAGTGGAAAATTCGATTACAACAAATGAAATCGTGCCAAGGCATCGATCACGACACTGAGCGACTCATTTACACAGGACTGTATCTTTCAACATACTGTCGTTCTTTTCTTGGGTCTGATGAAACCCCAAGTAGCCTGTTCATAAAGTGTCCTCGACCTAGCCAAGGAAATTTTCTGAATTTAATCTCTCTGCTTGCCAAACATAATTCAACTCTTAGGTACCAGTCAAAGCACCTGACAAAGGGAAAGTAATCATATTTATCAAAGATAATTCAAGTAAGTTATTAACTTTAGGGTAAAACAGTCTGAAGTAGTATTTTAAACAATATTAAAGAAGTTAAATACTACACAATAATGCTCGATTGCACTCCATATGTGTCTCATACAGAAAAAAATTAACCAGGTAATTCAATACATAAAAATGCATGGTGATGTGTGTGAGATAGAGGAAAATTTAATTGATTTCATAGAAATTTCTGGAAATACAGGAGAATGTATTTCTGAACGTATTGTAGAAAATTAATGACTTAATTGACACTTGATGGTTTAGATATTGGAAAATGTCGATGTCAGTCTTACAACAACGGGTCTAATATGAATGGCATTTCTAAAACAGTACAAGCTAAGATTACAGAAATTAATAAGCTGGAGGAATTTGTGCCATGTTTGGCTCGCTCTTGTATCTTGTCGGTGTGTATTCTGCTTCTTCGTGCACGGAAACAGTTAATCTGTTTGGAATTACTCAGAAAATACTTTGCTTTTTTGTCGGACATACTACTCGATGGTGTATTATGAAACAATGTACAAAATACAACTTAAAAGGAAGCAGCCAGACGAGATGGTCAGCAAAATATTTGGCTGTGAAAGTCCTAATAAATTAGCCAGAAATATTTAAAAGAAATTAAAGCTATTTCTCTCGATGCGGAATCAAAGCATGAGGTAGGATATCCCGTACATGCTGTGAAAATTTTGAATTTACTATCAACCTGAAAATTTGAGCTAATATTTTTCCAGAAATCGAGTAAAGATATTCAAAAGGAATTCCTCTTCCGCATTCTGTATAATTAACGAAAGAACTGACCAAAACTGAGGATTTATAAAAAATGAGAGAAAACTCCTATGGAATATTGGATACAAGAGTCTAAAACAGTTGCCGAAAAAATTGCAGTTGAGCCTATTCTGACAAAGAAAAAATTCCAAAGCACAAAAAGCTATCTGATGAACTGTTTGAGGACGAATCACGAACACGTCAACCTGTTCAGATCGAAGTTTCAGCAAATTAAAATATATTAAAAAATATCTACGATCATCGGTGAGCCAGGAGCGTTTATCAAGTTTTGCGATTCTGGCAACCGAAAATCAAACCGTAGATCAAATTATGACGATTCCATGCATTTATTTGCAAAACTAAAGGCTTACAGAGTAAAATTTTAATTTTCATTACTAGTTCTGTGATATTTTAGTAGCGTTAAGGCAGGTAAGAATTAAAATTACTTATGAAATAGGAAGTATGAAAAACAAGACAGGAAGCACGAATACTCTCAGTAATAACGCATATTCTGTATAATCTTTTCAGAATATTTCCTTTCGGCAATAGGGATTTCTCGGCAATTTTCCCATTAGTGGCTGAGCAATAAAAGCTACTGAGCACTAGTAGGGTCAAGTATATGTGAATGTGCTGGCTGTATGAGCATTTCCGTGATTTTCCCCGTGTGTAACATAGATACGAGCTAGTTTCTCTTTCAAATTTTTTCCACTGGGCATTCCTCCTTTCCCATGCAGTGCCTAATGGCGAAATACATAGTAAATAATCAGACAAATGTCCTCAGCAGTGGCCGAGTAATTAAGACCGCTGAATACTGGCAGTTCGACCTTGCCTTGGGTTCAAACCCAAGGCGAACGCTGGCAACAACAAATCGTGGATTTCCTCATGTCTAACATAAATACGAGCCAGTTTCCTTTAAAATGTTCCTCCACGAAAGCACCTTCCTCTAGCAGATACGAACCAATTTCCCTTAAACAATGTTTCCATGGCGGACATTCCTCCCTTTTCCATGCAATGCCTAATGGCGAAACATATAGTAAATAATCAAACAAATCTCCTCAGCAGTGGCCGAGCGATTAAGATCGATGAATACTGGTAGCTCGACCTTGCCTGGGTTCAAACCCAGGAGAACGGGTTGGCTGCATGGTTTGTTTTCGTGGATTTCCTCATGTGTAACGTGAATACGAGCCAAAGTTTCTCCACGAAAGCACCTCTCCTCTAAGCAGATAGCTTTCCTGTCTTTGTCGTAAACCTAACCTAATTTATCCAGTATGCAATAATATGGAGTAGTGAGAAACTTAGGTGATGCCTTTTCCCCCTAGAGCGGAAAAACGAATGGTGGCAAGGACTGGAGGGTTAGAAGCACTCAGAATTAGAGTTAGGATTAGGATTGAATCCGAAAGTAAGCTCAAAAGAAAGGCGATTCTCCTAGGAGGGGACGATTTTCTAATTATGTAACTTTGGTACGTATTTTTCCTTTATAACAAAACAAAAGCAACAAAACAAAAAAAAAAAGGCTCGTAAAAAATTTAGTATAAAATGGAGCTTAGGTTTTTACCTCAAACCCTATTTTCTGTATTTATTAAACAAATTAAAATCTGTTAGAGAAACTTAAAGGATGATGGGTGAGGGCGGCAGTTTTAGCTTTTGCTCCACACAGAAAAAGCAGAGATCCGGCGCTGGTGCAGCCTCGGAATAGACCCATATTAAACTCATCCATATGCATACAAACAACCCAATCTCGTGTGGAATTCAAACTCACAGCCAGGTGTTCCGAGTAATCAGTCTCCATTAATCACTAAACCATTCACAGGTTACTAACAATATAACATTTTAGCTTCATGCCATTTTTATTTTATATGAGGTTTGTCATAATAATTAGCATTAAGCAAGTGAGATCCAGTTACCATATGCTTAAAATAAATCATAATCATTATATAAATTGATGATAACATCACTTTGCAATTAAAGGGTATGCCTGTTTGTTTGTTCAAGTAGACAATTTATCATCTTAACTACTTTATAATACATAAACGCTGGGAGTGTAAAGCTAGCCCAAAATGTATTAATTGTAAAGCGGAAAATGAAAAGTATAAATTGAATCTTAACGTTGATCATTCTAGTAGTTAAGATAAAAACTGTCATTGTCACAAACGTCAAATGTATCTTTTAATCAGTAGTACTAATTATG